CAAATTCTTTCTCTGAAGTATGTATTGTCCTGATGTCAAACTTTGAGACACAACCAAGAAAAAAGTACAGAACAATTTCCCTGATGAACATGGATGTAAAAAGTCTCCACAAAAATATTTAAAGATTGAATCAAAACCTTTAAACATTTTATACAAAATTACTTCATGTTCCTGGACTCACAGCAACAGGGAGAAGGTCTCAGCCAAGGGAGTCCTAACTTCCAATTGATGAAGAGCAGTGTGGCTCTGATCAGAAAAGAGAGGACCTGATCAAAAAAGGGAGGACCATTCATTGATTCTTTTGAGCTTCAACTTGAAGCAGAAGCCCAGTCTAGGGCCTTGTCAGGCTGAACTGGGTGGATCACATGGACCACAGTGCAGACTAACTCTTTGGACTAACTAGGACATCCTGGTACCTGGTACCTGACACGCCAGCAGAATTCACTGCATCTTTGAACTTCAATGAGTGACTTTCAGAGTTATGTGTTTGCTAGCAAATATAATTTAAGAATATATTAATTTGACTTCCAACCACATGCTGTGGTGGATGGACATCATTTGTGCCATATGCAATTGTCATATCCCAGGCATCAATGACACCCACATTGAGATCCTGGAAAATATCTTTTAAGGCAAGGTACTGGGTGTAACCATGGAAGTCAGCTAGTCTTTCCACATCACTGCTCATCTCCCTGATGTTTTCTGTTTTGATGATAACCATAGTGTCTGGGCTTCTCAGGAGAAGACGCTGAAGAGCTTTGTGGACATTGAGGGCCCTTCGGATGAAAAGGTCAATGGGGAAAGGTCTGAAATGCTGACCCAGAGAAATGACAATGACCGTGTTTTTCTCTCCTCCAGTTCTGTCAATTATCCGTGCAATGTACTCCATCTCTTTGACTGAGTAGACCAATGACCCAATAAAGGGGTAACCGTGTTTTTTCCACTGGATGTTGATGTTTTCATCCAAGTCCACAGCGAGTTGGTGTTGCAGTTTTCCAGTCTCATGCAGATCCACAGACCTCAGTGCTGAGAACCAACAGGCAATCCCAAAACAAAAGGAGAATCCAGTTACAACAAGCCGCACATACAGGAGAAAAAAATCTGGTGTTTGGAGTTGTATAAACATATGGAATCTGATACTCAAACAACTCAAAGTGCTTTATGATAAAGAACTGCCCTCTTCCAGAATCATTCAGGCTGAATTGTGCAGGGGATGGCTTTAGCTTTGAACTCAGCTTTACTGGAAGATGATGCGATTAGTGTGTCCATGCTATTCTCATAGGACATGTTACCTATACCCTGACCTTAAATGAGGGTAGATAGGGAAGGCTATTAATTGATGTTATGTGCAAAAGAAGTCAAGCAAATCTCTGTAACGGCTCCAGGAATCTAAACCTGTATTCTCTGTCCTCCTTCTCTCCCTAAGAGTGGAATGGCA